CGCCCGGCCCCATGAAAGATTTTGACAGGACAGGGGTACTATTTGAGTATCAAAGCTACTCTGTAGTGGAGAATTGCACATAGTAACTTAATAACTATACATTAAATTGGTAATGCTCTTTTTATTATTTAACTTGTGAATTTCATGAACTCTTTTGTAGAGTTACTTTGATAGAGAAAATAATTTGATAGAATAATTATGCCTAGAATGATAGAAATGGAACCTGTACCTGAGAATTCAATAATCTTCACAGCTATTGAGTATTTTTTCCAAAATAATAAATGTCTTTCAGTTAATCATAGATTAATCATTTGTCAATTCATTTAGGAACAACAAGAACATTGTGGTTCCCAGCCTTTGGTTGACTTTGACATTCCTTTTGGTATGTATATGTGTGATTAATGTAATATCTAACTTTAGAGTTATGATCAACTTTCTAGAAATATTTGCAATATAAAAATGAGACAAAATTATTTTCATGTTATCTTTGACTAGATGGTGTATATGTGTTTCTGTGTGTGTTTTGATATGTTTTCCAGTAAAGCAGTGGTTGTTGAACTATGGCCTATAAGCCAGATCTGGACCATGCCTGTTTTTTGTAGATTAAGTTTTATTGAAACAGCCATGCCAATTTGTCTGTGTTGTCTAAGATTGCTTTCACACTACAGCAGGGTGGAGTAGTTGCAAAAGTGACCGTGTGGCCCACAAAGCCTAAAATATTTTCTCACTGTCCCTTTACAGAAAAAGTTTGCTGACTTCTGCAGTAGAGCTTTGTAATTAATTAGAATCTCAAATAAGGTATATGAGGTCTAAAAGAAAATTATGGAAGAACATGCCTAGGATTGAATTTATCATAGAAAATGCATACACATTAAAAATAGAAGAGTCAGTTCAAAAAAGAGAACTCAGTTACAGATAGTAAATTATTTCCCTTCTTGAATTGGTCAGTTTATTTCTTGTCCCTTGCATGTATGTATTCCCTAAATCTTTCTCCTCAGCAATTCATTTTCTCTCTCTCTCTCTCTCTCTCATTGACTTACTCTTGTGCTTAGAGGGTCACTCATTCTAATGATTCAACCCCTCCATTTTTTGATTATACTCAAATATACATATAGTCTCTCTCATCTTTCTTTACAACTGTTACCTTAAATTCAGCATGCCCAAATTTTAAACTGGTGTCTTCCTGTTAGTGATATCACCATTTTATTTATTTTTGCCTTGAAAGGCACCCTTGATTTATCTGATCTCCTTTCTCCTGCATTCATGTAGTCCTTGCCCTGGTCGTCTGTTCCTTTCTCTGTGCTGCTGCCCTGCCATCAGGCCTTTGCTGCCCTGTACCAAGTAGTCATTTCCTAACTCACCTGCTTAGCCTGTCTCTCTGCTTCCTAATCCATCTGGCATTCTTCTTTCCTGCCCACCTGTCTTAAAATGACTTTATCTTTTCCACTCTAATAAGATTTTTTTTTACTTTGTAATGGTAACACATGCTTACTGGTGAAAATTTAGAAAATACAAATAGGGAACAAGAAGAATATTAAAATTTCCCATCATCTCTCTATCTAGAGATAACTAGTCTTAATGTTCTTTCAGGCTTTATTTTATGAACATCCCTACACATATA